AAGTCAGAAACAAAAGAAAAAAAATCTTCCCTTTGTTTCACCCATTTTTTCTCTAAAAAAAAATCAAACAAAAAACAAACATAACTTCAAACATTTCTTTGTAAATCCATACCAACAATAATTCACGAATAGAAAATTTCGAGTGCATTTTATTTTCTTTCTTTTCGTTTGTGGATGTGTTAAATATTTTTATAAGGCTAAACATTACATACTACCAAAATAGATGCGTTTATTTCAAAATGAAAGCAAAAATGTGCTATCTGCTGTTTAAAAAAATACCAAAAATCAAGGAATTGTCCGATTCAAAAGAAATTTTCAGTACTTATTCTTTCATGAATGGATTTTGCAGTGAATAGGTGATTACAAAAATTTAAGGAAATATTGGGGGGTCTTTTTCACCATTACCCTTTCGATATTTTGTGTGTGCTTTTTAATTAGGGGGTGCCATTTTTTTTACAGTTACATTAAGAAAAATCTCTGAAGATATTTCTGTACAAAATTTATGTAATATATATTGTAACTATATTCGAAATTTTGGCCCGTACCTTTCCAAAAGTAATTCAATAAAACTCAAAAAATAATTTCTTTTGAGAATTAGTGCTTGCGTAATTTAATAAAAAGTTATTTTTTTTCAGACTGGACAGAAAAAAAATGTACTTTTTCAGTGTAATTTTGAAATTCATTTTGCTGTTCACAAGAAATGTTTTTTGTTGTTTTTTTTTTGTTATTAAATAAATACATATCTGAACAGTGTAAAGTAACGAATATTTGGGCAGCAACCTTTATTTCAAACATGTTTCACTGAATATGACAGCCTAGGAAAATTTGATGATTTTTTTCTTTTTAATTTTTCCGTCATTCTTATTTTTCCATTTGGTGGGAGTAAGGGAGTACAAAAATTGTCCGTATTATCTCCAGAGCTTTCAGCCATTTCTTTAGTCATTTTCAAGATGGTTTGTTTTTAAATGTTATTAATTTTTTCATGTCCGTTTAAGACGTAGTCTTTGTGTCGTTTGAATAATAGTAGTGTTTATTCCGAGTTGAGCATGGTTAACATCTTTCTATTTAAAAAAAAAAAAAAAAAAAAAAAAAAAAACCCTTCAAAACACAATTTCCACTGCTGAATAAGGTGAGATTTATACTGGGTGCCAGATGTTTTATGACGATGAAGTTTGCAGTTTTCTATTTTCTGTAATATATAAGTTTTATGCTTATTTGTGGTTTAGGGCAGAAATATGATGTTTAATGATTTGTCATATAACAAATTCGTTCTGCTTGTAAATAGTGTGCATCTGGTTGCAGTAAATATATTGTATGGTATTTTTTATGTCATATTCAACAAAATATAAATATATGTATACACAGTTTTTTTATTGTTATTTAATAAAGTAAATTAATTTTTTGGTTACCCAAGAGATAAATTCAAGTTATAAAGGCTTTTAATTTCTCTCCAAACTTGTTGATGTATTTCTTTCCACACTGAAAAACTGATTACATAAAAGGCAAGAATGTTCAAAACGAACAGAATGGTTTGTAAGCAGCAGCAGCAGCCGCCACCGCCCATGTGTCATGGGGAATGAGATATTTTCCTAAAGGTTTTATTTCATGAATCATTAGGGAGAAATGTGTCATTGTTGAAGAGAGCAACAGACAAGACTAACCAGAAAATCACAAGTGGGAAACTTCAAAAAGCAAAAAAGCTTTTTATGGTGATGATGATGAGATAGCAGAAACATTATTAATCTGGAGTACTGAGTGACCTTTTGAATTTCAACTTGACACCATCATAGCAATCTCAAATGATTGTTGATCTTATATACATACACATACTAGCCTAGTTAATTCAAACACTTATAATTTGAATAATTCATGGAACAATAACAGACTAATATAATTGTCTTTATTGTTTTGAAAAGATTCTGGCAGAAATGTTCTTTAGTCTTCTTTGAGTGTATGACATGCTATAATTCTTATTGCTCTTCATAAGGTCTTGCTGGTATTCAAATTGAAAATTTTACCTACTGGCCCAAGACCAAAGAAAGAACATGTTATGCCATTTATTATTAAAAGAGTCAGCCTTAAAAATAAGGATTTAAGACTTACTTTTACCTGGGCTTGAACACAGATCACTCTTGCTTATCAGAAGATTTACTTCAACAGTTTGTTTTTTTGTTGTTTTTTTTTGTGTAAGTGTCATACAAATATATTCATGTATTCTTTGCGTGTATATATATATATATATATATATATATATATATATATATATACACACAAATTATTAACCCTTACGCCCCTTTTCTTTAACCAGTTGCTCTAGCCGTTACCATGGTAATCTTAATTTCAATAATGAATATGCTTATAAAACGCGTAAATTTCAGGAATAAGTTATTCCAAAAAGATTTCGCTTGAAGATGGAACAGAGCTTAGTACTTTAATTCAATTTAATTCAAATAATTATATGGAAGTTTTCGGCTCTTGTTTTGAAACATGAGAACTCTTATGTAGCGTTGGAATCATATTTTTAAATAAATGATTATATTTATGCTCTACTTTTGTATCGAGCACTATTTTTTAGAAATAATAACAAAAATACTAAAGAACTTTGCATTATTTACCTAACGAGTTCTTTCCTATTTTCTATATATTTTTACACACACACACATATATATATAGGCAAATTTTTATCAGCATATTATTAGCATAGTACCCAGTCAAAATGGTGATACACTTCTGCCTTGACTCAGAATATCTGTGCATTCTCTGGCCCACTGCTGGGGATCTGTAGAGTGTCTGGGCAAAAAGTTTGACATACAAGACATGGATGCACAAGGATTTTTACATATGTGAGTTACTATTTGGATTCAAGATTTTTTCTTTTAATGAAAGAAATATATTTCAAAATTCTTACTGCATTATGACAAAAGAATTGGAAAATCTTTCAGATTATAAACCAGGTGTTGGATATTGTTTGAGGAAGACCTTTGACCTCACTTCCGCTGTATCAGAGAGTGAGCGAAAATCGGAATGGGTGATAGCATAAACAGGAAATCGCTAAAATAAAGGGGCGCAAAGGTGTCCTGAGCCATGAATTAACTGGGGGGAAAGGTGTCCTGAGCGGAAGGAAATGCTTGCTTGCGTGGGAGAGTCGTGGCTACAACGAAGTTGCGTGGGCACATGGCCGGAAGTCGCATGGCCAGAAAAGGTTGCATAGGTGACATACTGGAAAAAGGCGTAGCTACGTCAAGTTGTGTGGGTGTCCAAATGTTATAAAAACGGCCCAACTCTTGGTCTGAGAGAGAGGCTGGCTAGAGTTTCACCGAAGATCTTGTCTCCGTCAATTCCTGTGTGCATAATCCCAACCTCTCAGATTCTCCTTCAATCTACCAAATTGCTACAACTCGAAAAATAATGCTATATATATATATAAGTGTTCGTCACCTTATTTGAGTCTAGCAGTAATATGGAATACAAGTATTTTTTTTTAAATCAGATTTCTGTAACTTTTCACTTTTATAGTTATCGTCCTTGCACTGGTCATTTATTGAAAGCTTGAATGTTTGAACAATAACAAGAACTTAAAATACACTTTCATTTTTGATAACATGAGTGAACTAATCATATCTAATTCAAATAAATCTACATAATGTTTTTGGGGGAATTAAACAAGCGGTCTACTCAAGACAAAACTTTATTTTGATAACAAAGTTTTGGTGGGGGAGAACCTTTTGTTATAGTTGAAAGATTTTCATTGAACAAAAATTCAATCTGAAGCTTTAGAAATGTTATTATAATTCTGCTTGTTCCCCCCTTCTTCCTTCCCTTAGCCTCTACATATGTTACATCCTGCCAATACCTTATAAATAATGGACTATTCCATTTCGATCGTGGAGGGGGGGGACAGAAAAGTCGCTACTGGGTTTCAGTAAGAAAAAGAAGGGAAGATAGAAGAGGCAATAATATTCATGTTTCAATGGAAAAGATTTGTTTTAAATCTTTACATTTGTATCCCCTTACTTCTTTAAATAATGACCAGCAATCATATTTATGATTTTTATTGTAATATTTTGTTGAAGCTGTTAACCCCAAATATTTAACAGTGTGGTAGGGAATTTCTACAGATATCTTGTAGAACTCGCCATGAACTTATTCAATCATTAACATAATTAAGATTCATCAGGAAATTCAAATAAAAAAAAACATAAAATTTTTATGGCTATTTCTAGTTGCTATATATTGTTCTAAAGGCAAAAAAAAAAAAAAAAAAAAATGCAATTTACTATTGATATAAGCAACATATTCAAATAAACTATGTGTACTTATTTAAATATATTTACACATTGGCTTGCGCATATATTTTTTATACCATCAGCATATAGGATGCAATCAAATTTTTGGGTCAAAATTACCTTATATACTTAAAAAAAAAAAGAAAAAAAAAAGGGAAATAAAACTGAAGTACCCAATTAAGACATGATGACTTGGATTGAAGCTGGTTATAATGAAAATAAAATAATTCCTTAGTACTGAAAAGTAATCCCATATGAACTTGTTATAAGCAAGCGAAACAAGTCAAATGTGTAATATTAGTAACATCATAATAACATTATAAGAATACAAGACTAATTGTCCTTAAAAAAAAAAAAAAAAAAAAAAAAAAGGAAAAAAGGTTTAGTTGGGTTCACTTCCTTGTTTATTGAAATCCTCTGCAGCCTAATTCTGCACCTGGTTGATTTTGTGGATGCCTAGGACAACCCTTGGGGGCTCCTAGGGCCTTTTGATATTACTAGAGTAACACTAAGTACAAAAAATACTTTTATATCTCCTAGGGTAAACCCAGTACATACTGAGGTCACCACAGATCAACTCTTTAATTCAAGTTTCCTGATGGTCATTGGATTCAGACATGCTTGTATTTCTGGTAGGAACTGTATACTATAAATGTCTAACCATCTTTGTTGCCAATTAAAAGCATGATGGATGGAGAATAAACTCTTTTTTAATTATAATAATAATAATAATAATAATAATGATGATGAAAGAGAAAAAAAAAAAAAAGAGAAAGAAAAAAAAGAGAAAGAAAAAAAGAAAAAAAGAAATGAAGGAAAAAGAAAGAAATGAAGTAAAAAGAAAAAAGAGAAATGAAGAAAGAAGAAAAAGGAAGAAGTGAAGAAAAAGAAGAAAAGTAAAGAAAAAGAAGTGAAGAAAAATGAAAAGTGAAGAAAAAAAGAAGTTAAGAAGAAAAAAGAAAAAGGAAAGAGAAAAAAGAAAGAAGAAAAAAAAAAAAAAAAAAAAAAAAAAAAATGAAGAGAAGAAAAAAAGAAATGAAGAAGTGGGAGAAAAAGAAGAGGGAAAGAAGAGGAAGAAAAGAAGAATTTAGATGAGATTAAAGGTAATATATAAGCAGTTGATCCCAAAAGAGAAATCTTCAAATTGTTTTGAAAAGAGGAAGAGATGAAGGAGTTCCTAAAAGGAGTACTTTCAAGGGGACTAAGATTCCATTACCCTAGGTAGGCTGTATTTTAAATGATTTGTTACTTTGCAAAAAGGTTTTACTTTATTCCTAAATCTTTCAAGTTTTTCACATTTTATTTAGCATTTCAAAGGAAATGAAAGGTTTTCAAGGGTTACTGCACAAATATTAAGAGAAAATCTTCATAACCATTCCATTTTTTTTTTATTGGTTGATTTGAATATTTTCTTGAAAAATGTAAATCAATGTTGTTGTTGTTGTTAGTAGTAATAGTAACGTTGTTAATATTTATAATTCCTATCAAAACTTATTGTTTCATTCCTTAACAGATTTCATTTACTCATTCAGGAAATGTGGTGGTTACACAATATACAAGGTCACTTAATGGCACCGCATTAGCACTTTTAGCCTATAATCATAACCTCTGTAGGTCAAGGGTCAATTATCTTTCCTCCTCATAATTTGCATCTCCTACCACCACCTCTTTCATTCATATTACTTACCTCATTAACATTTTAACAGTAACCCTATTATTTGAGTGTTTCTCAAGCCTTGTGTGTGTGTGTGTGTGTGTGTGTGTGTGTGTGTGTGTGTCATACCACTTGAAACTTGATAACTTGAGACTTCAATGTTAAAATAAAATAGTATTTAATTACAGTGGTAAATAAATATGTAACAGGAATAAAGAAGTAAAAGTCAACCAAAGATAATTAACCATTTTAGTGAATACCTTGTTAGTAGCATGGCTCAGCTTAACATCTGGTAAAACCTAAATCATTGACACGCAATAATTCCACTGGATAGTTCAACTCAATAGTCACTTGCAGTCAGTAGCTTGACATCGCTATTTATACACCTGGTGGAAAACATATCCATAAGTCCAGAGGGTCACGCTTGAACCTCAGTGCCAGTAGTTGTTCATTTTCTTCCTATATGATGTTGTGTGTATATATATATATATATATATATATATATATATATATATATATATATAGAGAGAGAGAGAGAGAGAGAATTGGAATCAGGCTGTCTGTGAGCAAATTAAAAACATTGCAGGCTGGATCTGGACACACAACCCTGAAATTTGGGATTCCCGAGTTTTCATTACTTCAATTTTGTGATTTTTTTGCAACAAATTTTTTTGTATGATTTATGAATAATCAAAATTAATTGCGAAATCCAGCAGATGTCACGTATGAAATAAAAATAATTGTTTATACAGAAATTAAGGACCTACATACATCAAATTGTCTGTAAATCAAGTGGCAGAAGAATTATTGCTGAACTTTTAAAAGATAAGCTTAAATATTGATGCAATACTTAAATGCAGCAATCAATTTTGAGTTCTTCTGTAGTTTATTGTTGCATATCACATATGGCAGCAGTATGTCTCACAAAAGGAAATCACCACCAACAGAGGACCAGATTGCAATCAAAAGGACCAAGAGTGCAGCGAAGAAAAGAAAAGTCTTGTGCAAATGAAAACACAGATCACATCACAGCCAGAAAAGCTTCCAATGCCGGTAATATGCAAAGACTTAGAGACTATCAAACTACTGAACAAGCCAAAGACACAATGAAGAGCCCTCCAGAGGAGTTAGCTACACGCTGCCTTATAGGGCGGCTTTTTTCAAGTATATATATATATATATATATATATATATATATATATATATATATATATATGTGTGTGTGTGTGTGATGATAATTTGCTGTTGGTATATAATCCAAGTGAATCCTAATAATATAAAATATTAAAACTGATCCACAAAAAGATTCCAATGAATTTATTATAACAGGATATAAATTACATAGAATAGAGATCCAAAATTACCCCATTTCAATAGCTATTTTTGGCCTATAAGACTTACTTATAGGACAACTCAGAGGTGTGAAGAAATAAAATAGGAGCTTAAAATTTAAATATTTAAAAACTAAAAGAGAGAAAGAATAAAAAGAAAGCAGCAGTGACAATCCAGATATAACTATAAATAAACTCCCAATATCATAGATGTGGGAGTGTCTCATCA